TAAAGCCTAAACCCGGTTTAGGGTTTAGGGTTAACCCTGAAACCCTAAAGCCCTCAACCCTGAAGCCTAAGCCCTAAGAAGAACGCGCAGTGTCTGTTTAGTTAGCCCTTGGAAGACTCTTCTGTTCCTAGGTAGTATTCGGGAGACTCCTTAAAGGGGACCCTTCTTAACCCTACTTATGGCTCTCTCAAACGGGACCTCATTTGAGAGGGTCCATAGGGGTTCCCCTAATCCTGCCTCCCATCTGTATGCGGCCGTTAGCTGTTAGTTCGAGTAATTCTCAGCATTCCGCTAACAAACTTTCGGGTTTAGGGTGTCGTGTTGTATAGAAGGTCCCACACCTTGTTGAAACCACTTATGCCCCTGTGCAACACGGGTCAGAGTTCCGAGAGTTTCTGGTTCTGCTGTCGAAACTGCTTGTGACCGGGCGTGAGGGTGCTAGAGCCTTTGCTGCAGTGGGAAGATGGAACCCTAAACCCCTAAACTCTAAACCCCTAAACCCCTAAACCCTAAACCCTAAACCCTAAACCCCTAAACCCCTAAACCCTAAACCCAGGAACAAGCACCTTGCAGCCGGAAATTCAGATGCTATCTTACTCGGGTTCCGATTTGATTCGGGGCTCCAATTTGGAGAAGTTGTTGGGTCGGACATGTTCTGCTCGAAATGAGTCCAACTTCTGTAGAAAATCCGGCTCCAACAAACATCAGAGTCTCCAATGCACCGGAGGACCGGATTTCTAGAGTCCGAATGTTCTTCAAGGATGTTAATATGCACTCGCTTAGGGCTTAGGCTTGACATGTTGGCTTGGAGTTGAAGGTTCTCGGCGTAGGCTCCACACGCCAGCCCTAACAACACAGTCAGACATGTTTGATGCTTTTCGTTCCAGGCGAAACTTCTCGCCCAAGGACCGCGAGGGTGCGGGGTCATGTCGCTCTAGCTTTGCTCGAACATGTTTTGTGTCGTTTCATTTAGACCAGAACTCACACCCTCAGAACTCTGAACGCTACACGTCTTTGCTGAGATCTCGGTTCGTTTGTTCCGGGTTTCTTCGTGGCTTCCGCGCTTGTTGTGTGAAAACTGTGAAAACTCAAATTCACCAAAGACCCTCAAACCCTTAACCCCGACAGAACTCTCTCTACATGACCCCTTAACAGTCCAAATCGCTCCACTCCATGTTTCCAGGACCGTGTCTCCGGGCCACAAGTTTTTGCTGCCCAGTGGAAGCTCCAGCAAAATGCCGCCAAAGAAGTGGGAGAAAAGGACAAGAAACGAACTGAAAGTTGATTTGTTGTTGCAGCTCCCTGCGTTGGCTTGGGTTGAGGTCTTATTGCAGGGCTATGCTGTGAGATTTGCAGTTCGCCTGTGAGATGCGTGCACATACGAGATTGTCCTGTTTCTTTGATCAGGTATGCGCGTGTATATGCAGTGTCTATATATATATATATATACGTATATATAGGGAGAGGGTTGATATGGGTGTTTTTGTGTATATGTATGGCTACGGACAATCAAAGTCACTCAAGTCCGGCGCACATTCCTCACACTCAAGGGTTTAGGGTTTGGGTATTTCAGGGGCCCTAAACTTTCCTAAACCCTGAACCGCTGAACCCAAAACCTCTGAACCCTAAATCCCTGAGCCCTACACCCTAAATCCCTTAATCCTAAAACCCGAGACGTATGTAGGTAGTTGTCAAAATTATGGTCCGTTTTTGGGTACCCTACATATTAGGTGCCGTATTATTATAAGGACCCCAAAAGGGACCCTAATTTTGACAACCACCCATATATATGTCCCCAGTCCTAAGTTGGCTCTCCAGCAGCAAGACATGCTTTGCTCAGCCGAGACTGAATTCATGGCCGGAGCCTCTGGAACTTATGTTCTTTCGTTTGTTTATTGCAGGGTTTTAGGGTTTAGGGTTTAGGGTTTAGGGGGGGTCAGGGTTTTGGGATTTTAGGGTGTTGGGTTTTGGGATTTCAGGGTTTTGGGGACAGGGTTCAGGGTTTGATGGGGTTTAGGGCATGGAGTCTAGGATATTGTTCAGGCGGTTGGCTTTAGCTTAAGGGAAATCTCAAGCATGCCGAACAGAATTACCCTGTTCGGACTCCGAGCATTCTGGACAACCCTAAACCCTAAACCCTAAACCCTAAACCCTAAGCCCTAAACCCTAAACCTTAGGGACGGTTAGGTCTGGTTAGGTCGTTGGGGGGCTTGGGGACTTTGTAGTTGAAGTGAAGCCGCAAGATTATTCCGGTCGGTGATAGCATCATAGGCACCAACGACCATATTCCGCTTATTGAGGACCCTAAACCCTAAACCCAAACCCCTGTACTAAAACCATTTAAACAGTATTGTAGTGACCCTAAAACCACAAACCCTAAACACTGAACCCCTCACCCTAAACCCCAAACCCTAAACCCTAAACCCTAACTCCTTTCCCCCTAAACCTCGAACCCTAAACCCTAAATCCTTCACCCAAAACCCTAACCCTAAACCCAAACCCCGAACCGACGTCTCGGCTGTCGAAGCCCCAAGCCGCAAGTCACCAAGGCCTATCATCGTCCGGAAAGGAAGCTAAGAGTTAGGATCTGCGGGGTTTATTGGGTTTCGGGTTTGGGGTTTCAGGGCTTTGGGTTTCGGGTTGTTCGGGTTTCGGATTTATCGTTTAGGTTTAGGGGTAATGTTCAGGGTTTGGGGCTTGTGCGGCCTGAAGCAACTCCAAAGGCCCAAAACTGAAATCGCAAGTCACAAATCAGGGCTACATGCCCGCCTTCCCGAAACCGGAGGGTGCACAGTTTTAGGCTGTAGATTCTTAAGCGGTTAAGGATAAACGGGTAAAGTAAACTTGGATTGCCAGGTCATGCCAGGTTCTTTTTTGAAACCCTCAAACCCTGAGCCCTTAACCCTCTGTTGTGGTCCAGGGATTTCTATGAGCTTAGGGTTCAAGCATGCGGTGGTTGGAGTTCAACCGTAAGCTCTAAATCCTGTATACCGTCCGCACATCCTCACTCCACACCCCAAACCCTAAACCTGAACCTCGAAACTCTAAACCCTAACTAAGACAAAACCCTAAACCCCTAAACCCTTAACTAAGGCTAAACCCCAAAGCCTAAACCCTAAAACCCCCTTCTGAACTTAGGCGTGGGATCAAGCGACGGAAGTGATGCCCACGAAGCCGCTCTTGCCCAGGCCTTCGAATTGCGCGCAAAACCTGAACCCTTAACCCTAAACTGTTTTCTGTTGGGGTGGTTTAGGGTTTAGGGTTTAGGGTTTAGGGTTTAGGGTTTGGGCTCGGGGGTTGAAGGGTTTACCGGACGGGATACCGGAGATCAGGTACTTGGAGGTTCATGGGTAGTTATAAGTAGGGTAACTATAATTATAACCCATATTAGGTGACTTATAACTGAGCCTATAACCAACCATGAACCTCCAAGTAGAACGAAGGCTCTTATCGGGTGGGTTCTATAAGCCAACGTGCCGCGACACCAACTCTCGGCAGCTTGTAGCACTGGGTTTTCCGCCGTTGGGAGCTTCTTGAGCGAAGACCGAGTCGGATCTATATGTACGAGATCAGGTAAGATTCCTAGGTTTTAACCTATTACCGGGACGTGACTAGGATGTGCAAGTTGTGCTTGGGTCTCTAGGAATCCCAAAACCTGTACCCAAATCCCTGAATGCCTGGACACTAGCTTATGCACAACCTGTCCTTTGTCCGTCATTGGGCGAATGTAGGGGCTTGAGTAATTTATAGTTACTTACTAGCATTCCGTAAGGGAACCTTATATACATGTATTACAGACACCCCAACTATCGTATAGTCCAACTGTATCTATTCAGTCTGCGCTTGCGCAGATTGTCCGTCATGGTCAGATCTTGACCCTGCTGATTACCGTCCGATAACTTGGCAATTTAACGTTGGGCTAGGAATGCAGACCACAGTAATGTTGGTAATCGTCACGCAACTCAATGTAGCATGTACTGCAACGCCTGACTCGACGTATTCACTTCGCATCAGTTCTCCTTCGTCGGAGTTTCGCTCGTCTGCATCCTCAGAAAACTAGACCCTGAACCCTAAACCCTAAGCCCTGGCTAGCTACCGCGAGCCGCATGCAGACAACTCCTGAATCCTAGAATCCTAGAGCTTGAGGCCCTGAGTCCTGCAACGAAACATGTCACTGAGACCCTAAACTTTGGCTTCGGAGCTGCTGGCGAGACTCGTCCAGTCTATTCCGTTCTATTCCAGTCTAGTCTAGTCGCTAGTCACAAAGCGCTAGGCGCTGGTCACTAGCCACTCGTCAGTAGTCTAGTCTTGTAGAACAGAGTAGAGTAGGAGCATGGTGTGGTCGATTATAGATTCAATTATAAGATTCACTCTACGTGTTCTGATACTGCATATGTGGCCGCTCAAGAGCACTAGTCTACCGTGGCTATACCAAGTCGAGTGACCTGTATAACAGGGTTCCAACCACTCTTAAGGTTTAAGTTTACGGGTTTAGCTAGACCAAGTCCACCCTAAACCCTAAACCCTAAACCCTAAACCCTAAACCCTAAACCCTAAACCCTAAACCCAGGCGTCTCGGCTGCAA